AAAAAAGAAAAGAAATATCCATGAGAGAGCAACATTGATTGACTGCCTACTGCACGCCCCCTACTGGAGATCAAGTCGGCAACCCCAGCATGTGATCGAACCAGTGACCTCTTAGTTCATGGGTCAATGCTCAACCACTGCCACACCAGCAAGAGGAACAACTATAATAATCTGAACAATAACGATTTAATTTAAGAAAAAAAGAAAAGAAATATCCATGAGAGAGCAACATTGATTGACTGCCTACTGCACGCCCCCTACTGGAGATCAAGTCGGCAACCCCAGCATGTGATCGAACCAGTGACCTCTTAGTTCATGGGTCAATGCTCAACCACTAAGCCACACCAGCAGGGCTCAGTCACTCTCTTTTTCTCTCATGTGTCAGAGGTAAACCATGCTGTGAGCAGCCCTGTGGAGGGGCCTACGGGGCAAGGAACTGAGGCCCCCTGGCACCAGCCACACGGGGAGCCGGCATGGACTCCAGCCCCAGGCAAGTCTTCAGATGAAGCAGCACAGCTGACAGCTTGACTGGACCTCATGAAAGAATCCAAGACAGAACCACTCACCTATCTGCCCCTAGATGCCTAACCCTCAGAAACTGTGCGAGATCCTATGTGTTTGTTGATTTTAAGCCACAGAGTTCTGGGGTGATTTGTTACACAGCTGTATGTAGCTAACTGATACAAATAGCATTGTTAATATGGTGCATAACTATCACTGCATGCTGCCATTCCATATGGAGGCCATGTCCTCTTCTCTCTATTTCTCAAAAATGCCCTGCTGATTCCCACTTCAGGCTCTTTGTAGGTGCTGTTTCCTCTGCTTGGAGCACCTTACCCCCAGACCTTTGCCTGGGGGACCTTTCTCTCAAAACTCACTCTCAGGTCCCATGGCATCACCTCAGGTACCGTGGAGCCCTCCACCACCACATACGCTCCCATACCAGTCTGTCTCTCCCTAGCACCCACGGTGAGAATCTACAGCCTAGAGCAGAGCTTCTCAACTCCTTCCCCCAGGGAGCACTGGGCGATGCCTGGGGACATTTCTGGTTGTCAATACTCTGGAGAAAGTGCCCTATCGCCATCGAGTGGGTGGAGGCTGCTCAACACCCCACAGTACCCAGCACAGCACCCAGCATAGCCCTCCAGAGAGAATGATCTGCTGAGTGCTGATTTTGAGGGACCCCAGTCTACGATTCAGGATTTCTTTCTTTTCTCTTTTTTTAAAATATATTTTATTGATTTTTTTACAGAGAGGAAGGGAGAGGGACATAGAGTTAGAAACATCAGTGAGAGAGAAACATCGATCAGCTGCCTCCTGCACACCCCCCACTGGGGATGTGCCCGCAACCAAGGTATACGCCCTTGACCGGAATCGAACCTGGGACCTTTCAGTCCGCAGGCCGACGCTCTGTCCACTGAGCCAAACCAGCTAGGGCTGATTCAGGATTTCTTAACGATCCATTTGAAGCAGATGTCACATGGTCCCACCGGGCACCAGGGCCAGGGTCGGTGTACCCAGGAAGGTCAGCGCAGGGCAGAGAGAGCATGGGGCGTGCCAGCCTCCGGGGCACAGGGGGCATGACTGAGCAGACAGGAGTGGTGCAGAGCAGAAAGGCGCTCTGGGGAGAAGGATGTAAGGAAGTACGCGGCTGCCTGGCTGTTTCAAAAATGGAAATAGCCTCACATGTTGAAATGCTGATGGGGAGAAGGAAATAGCAGAGACCCAAACAGTGGAGCTGACTTCCTAGTGTGGGGGACAATCAACAGGGAGTCTAGTCTGCTACCACCAGGACTGGTGCATAGTAGGGGCACAAGTCACTCCTTTTTGGCTAATTAAGAAATGTTACAAGCCCTAGCCGGTTTGGCTCAGTGGACAGAGCATCGGCCTGGGGACCAAAGGGTCCCGGGTTCCATTCCTGTCAGGGGCATGTACCTCAGTTGCTGGCTCCTCCCAGGCTGGGCCCTAGTCAGGGCACATGCAGGAGGCAACAGTCAATGTATTTCTCTCATATCGATGCTTCTCTCTTTCTTTCCCTCTCTCTTCCACTCTCCCTAAAAATCA